ACCCCCTTCTGTGAACGGCGCACATAGAAACAGCATGGCAAATTAGATAATGTCAATCCCGCCCCCACACTCGTGCGCTCCGCTCTGTGCGTGTGCCTTCTTGACTCTTTGATTTTCTCAAGTGGATGTCTTCTTTTTTTCTGCCAGCCTACGTTCGATACGTTTAATAGTACCGTACTACCTTGATCGTTGTTATCACTGGTTTTGGCGTACGCGTGGCTGCTAGATACAGTCGGAGAAATTAAGAGACGAAACAACTAGTTTCGCTTTGCGTGGCGTTGTTGTTTCAGTTGTGCTTTTCCCTTGTATAGAGTCAGACACTTATGCTGACTCCCTTCGCTCTTGACTTTATGCATCCATTATTGAGGTATGTACATTTTTATCCTTTACTATTTTTGCTTAATAGTACTGTACTACCTTGATAATTTGGGTTTGACGTACGCCTGACTGCTGGATACAGAGTCAAAGAATTTGAAGGATAAGTTGTTCTTTGGGATAAAACGTAACTTTAATTAGTAAATTTTCGAGTCTGCTACCCCAACTCGTCTTCGGACCAACAGGCAATATGCAATGCACAAATAACATTTCAAACGTGCGGAAAATCAATAGGTATTCGGGGTGAGGTTTGATTGGTAGATGTGGCTTCAATCAGTCTGCGTCGTGACGTCTTATTTTCTTCCATCGTTCTTTCAAATTTTCATGAATACCATCCAATTGTATGTGCTGGTTGATGCATGAGTCGTCGGAGTTTGCCCATCCAAAAACGGCCGAGAATTTCTTGAGGCCATGCACTCCGAAGACTCACGCATCAACCGGCACATACGATTGGATGGCATTTATGAACGAATTCGCTATATGAAAATATGTTGGCGAGGGGGTGGCATAACCGGGACGTACGCTCTTGTCCCTGGCTCAATGCACAGCTCTTCGAATTTCTAATCAGGTGCTCTATAGCCAAACACCAGGGTTCGAGTCCCCGGTGATCCGCACGTGGAGTCGAGTATGACTGGCTAATGATGCCTACCAAGCCAGAAGTGGCCATTCCACCCCCCGTTGCCTTCGTCGGACCCACTTTATCATACCCTACTTCTGGCTATGTGATAGAGCTCCAGGGCAAACGCGGAACTTACATTGCTCCATTACCAGAGCCATAATGTTCGACCGACAAAGAAACGAACCAGTGGGGAAATGATAGAGTGTTGCAATCAATGACCAAAGGTCTCGGGGTTCAAATCCCAAGTGATCCACAAAAAGATGGCAAATATGGGGTGGCAAATATGGCGTCCAGCGGTCCTCCGAACTCAAATGGCCTAACCATGTACTCACTATCCAGAACATTCGATGCCTCATTCTTGTATGCTATATAAACGTTCTACTCAAACTAAGTGAGTAGGGTAATAAATGTTATCATTTGTTTAACATATACTTACCGCCACCAGCTGCGATAGTGCCATTCTGCGATGGCTTGGTCCAATCAACCAAGTCGTCATAGTAGTCGCCGCCGCGACCTGGTTGGGGAAGCACCACTATCGGCGGGAAGTAGTTCAGGTCGGTTGCCGACTAAATTTGGTAGCAAAAACAATTGGCTGA